TCTTGCAGCGCTCGAGACAATATTCTGAATGCGCCCGCACGCAAGTCTGGATCACTATTTCTTATTTGCATGGCCAAGAACATCCCAGCAAATGCTTGCGTTTCTGAACGCAGCATTCAAAGACAATGCAGTGCAACAGCCTGGCTTTCAAGTAAGCATTTAACAGTTAGCGAACTTAGTAACTTTGCGAATGCATTTAGCCGGCTTAGTAACGTTACTAATGCTTTTAACCGAATAAACTACTCATAACCGATTTACAACTGAAGCTAACAACTGGTATGGCCGAGGGCCTTTAGGTATTGCTACATTGAAATCGCAGGGGTCGCTGATCGAACCAACTTCAATGCGCGGCGAGCCTACTGGCCGACTTTCAAAACCGTGGATCCCCACATGTTGACGTGCCACTTTTACTTCCGTCGCCTCTCGCAAGCTTCCAACTGGCTGAGCCGCGGCCGATTTGCCTCCGCCAGCTTCAGCCCCCCCCCCCCCCCCCCCCCCCCGGCCAGCTTCAGCCGAAGGTGAGACGCGCCAAAGGCGATGCAAGTTCTGGAGTGCGCCAAAAAGACACGCAACCAACGGACAGGAGGAGAGGCGGACGAGTAGGGGAGGGGGAGAGGGAGGGGGAGAACGGGGAGGAGGAGAGGAGGGGGGGGAGGGCGAGTAGGGGGACGGGCTGGGGGCACTAAGAACAATCAGGATCGGTTAGCAGGTATCGTGGGGCAAGCAAAGTTCTGATGAACGTATTGTAGGCCTCCAACACTAGCGGGGGCATCTCGATGGAAACGCCCGTGAATTCAAACCGCAAGCCGAACACCTTCAGAATGAGGCTGCGTGCCTTTTCAAGAGAGCAAGCCTCGATGGCTTCTTGGACTCCCATTTGTTCCCTGGCGTCCGTCGTTACCAAGAACGACCTTTATCAGATGTGGCAAGGCGACATGCCTGCGTCGGAAAATATTAGGCCAGCGAGGGCCTTCTTCGCCGCGCCTGTGGACGTAGACAAAGAAGGTCCGCGAACGTAGACCGCGCGGGAACTTGCGCGCGCGATGGGCGGCCACAGGCGGGAAACAACTAACAGAAAACAAATGCGTTTTCCGTGTGTCCTATGTCTGGGTTTCCAGCGGTCGCGTCTTCCTGTTCGCGCATTGCATTTGCGGCCCTTTGTGAAATGCAGCTGACAAATCTGCGCGAGGCAGAGAGGGGGGTGGGGAATCGAAGAAAAATGCTCTAGGGGGCCACCGCATTCGGCCCCGTTGCTGGCGTCCCGATGTGTTCCTTCTGGAAACTGATCCACCTCCGGGCCAGACCTCTCGTCTTCTCGATGCTGTGAGGATTCTGCGGCGGAGGCAACGCATCCTCTGGGCATGTGGGCACACGCGCGAAGACTGCCACGATGTTGCCGTGGTATGCGGTCTTGCTCTGAAGAGCGTTCTCCCGGCGCTTGGGCATCGCAGCCACGGTGACTTCGAACCATTTGTTGCGTGCATTTCGCTGAACGCGGTCAGCGTCTGTCCCTTTCCATCTCTTCGGCCCGAGGTCGCTGACAGGTCGACGGCATCTGGTTGTTTCTCGCGCGCTTGCTGCCCCTGTCTGGGCCTTGCACCCTCAGCGGGCCCATGGCCTTGAACATGGGCATCAAGGACAGCCCTGGAAGGTGCATGATCGGACGGGGAGACGGCGGCATTGCTTGCACCCCCCCCCCACCCCCCCCCCCCCCCCCCCCCCCCCACCCCCCCCCCCCCCCCCCCCCCCCCCCCCCCCTCCCGCACCTGCTGCCGGCGACTGCCCTGGCTCGCTGGCAGGGCGTCCTGGGCCCGCTTCCATGCCATCCGAGGGAGGTGCATTCTCCGTCGTCTGAGGGCGTGCTGGATCGACTGACATAGGCGACAAACTGTCGGCATCGTCAGGTAACTCATGCGCGCCCTCGCTGATCTCGGCCTGGCACCATCACTCAAACAACCTCTTCTCGTGGGCAACAATCTCCGTGGGGGCCTCATTCTTGCGCGCATTTGCCCACTGCGAGTAAGCTCTCTGGTGAGGAGTGCATAAGTCAACGCGTTGCGCCGCGTTCTGAGCATCGCAATATTCGAACGACACTACCGGCCGCAAGTGCACTGGCTTCTTCGTTGCGCCGCGCTTCACCTCCTCGAACATGGCACAAAAGCGACCGACCGAGCAGAAGACAAATGTAGCCCTGCTCCAATCGGGCCGCGAATCGGGCCACTTTCTCCGTGAGCTCGATTGGGGGGTCCTTGGTCAGCGGCGTTGCGTCGTCCGTTGGGGGCGGCTGGTGCAGTGGCGCCCCTTCCCTGGGATCAGGCTGCCGGTTCGCCGGCGGCGCAATCGGTTGCGCCCCCCCCCCCCCCCCCGGCGGGAAGCGAACGCGCGCGCTTGCAAAGTGGGGCTGGCGAGCCCGACCGTGCCGGGCCCCGTGGGGCCCCCGGCTCGAGCGCTGGCGCTTTCTTGGTGGTGCGCGCCTGCGGTGCGCCATCGATCTTCTGTCCGCGCGATGTCGATGTTGTTCCGGACGAACTCCACGATTGGATTGTGATGGCCCCACCTACCACATCTGTTATTGTTGGTCGACCCAATCCATTCTTCTTCCTCATCATCACCAGCACGGTGGACAGGCGACCTGGGCCCGCCCCCCCCCCGGGTTCGGGACATCGCCCCCTCTGCCCGGGGGCGTGGGATTCATCGGCCTGTAGCGCGAGAAATCCCCTGGCGATCGCTGCGCCCAACGCTCGTCCACCTCGACCTGCGAAGGGGCGAGGTTGTCCATGTTTAACCCCAGCACTCTATCGTAATGGACCAGTCTGTTCACATCAGGAAATACATATTCCTGGTAGAAGCGGTCCGTCTCCAACTCGAGGCCCCGCAAAGGCGCGCATGAGCTCGATGAGCTGCCGTCTGTTGTATCGGATCTCTTGTGTCTGAGCTTTCTGCCGAGCGCTGCGCAACTCTCTTCGGGCTTCGCGCATCGGCGCCTTGTTATCTTTGCTCGCGGGATCGTAGCCCACGAACTTCATCGCTGCATCCTGTATCCTCCAAGCGGCCACAGGATTCGACTCTGTTATACCATCCCCTGCTTCTTCAGAGGGAAGGAGTGGGTCAGGGTCGACCACGGCAGTGAAGTCTAATTCGAATCCATCTCCATTCGACTCCGTGGGGCGGTATAACCATAACCCCTTGGCGTGCGATTGCGGAGGTGCGGAGGGGCGCAACCGGGGCGCAGTGCGAACCAGACTCTGGGGATGTGAGCAGCATTGCTGTCTGTTCCTTCCTGCGTCCACTGCGTTGACTCCCCCTGAGTCCGGCGGCGGAGCCAGGGCCTGGACATCGCTTGTCCCTGCTAGCCCGTCGCTGATGATTTCGGCCGCGCAGGAACAACGGGCATGCTGCCGCGGAGTGCGCGCGGAATACTCGAAAGCCTATGCTCCTTCTGCTGGCGCGCGCGTCGCCCCGAGCAACTTCGTTCTGCCTCCGCCCCTCACTTTGGAGGCCACGAGCGCGCCAGTGTCTAGGGCCGCGCCATGTCTGTCTATGTTGACCGCGTGCGAGTGGAACTTCCACCCCTCGTTCGATTTTGCAGGAACAAGCCCTTGCGGAAGATCAAAGGGCAAGGTGGCGATTGCGCGGTCTGTTTGAGTATCAGTCGACACATGGGCAACGCCAAAGAGGTTGCACAGCGCCCCCTGAATGCCATCCCGCGCCGTAAACAGACGTCTCGCACTTAGCCGCTCGATGGCCGCCCGAGCGAGATGCTGCCTGGTAGGCATCGGGGAACTCGCCCTTCGAATCGAGGATGCAAGCCGGCCCTTCGAACTGGTCGCTGTTCCGCGTCGCGGGGCCTCACTGGGCCCCGGGTCCCGTTCGTGCCCCTCGGGCGCCGATGGGATGTGCGATGACGGCAGCTGGTAGTCGACCGAGCTATCGGCGTTGATTGCCCAGCAGATCCCTGTTGATCTCGTGCGCGAACGTCTCAGGCCCGACGACGATGGGGTTCCGATGGGACTGGCTAGATTCAAATGCGCGCAGACAGAAAAAAATCCCTGTCACCGACCTCGCGTACTGGATTGATCTCCGGACCCCCTCCCGCACGACGGACGAGGGAGCCGGGCTTGACAAGCAGCGAGTCTTGAATCCTTTTCCACTTCTCCACTAGATCCGCGCCGCCCCATGTTTTTGGGGCGTCGCTGGCATAGTCGGATCCCGCCCCGCCGGCGCATGCTGGCACGGGGTCAGATACAAAAATTCCCCCCCTTTCTAATCGCGCGCGCATGCACCGATTCATCCCGTCGTCGCGCACAAGTTCCCGAAGCACAAGATCCCTGTCAGGCAACGTCGCCGGGTCAGCGACGTGTTCGTCGTAAGGGAGAGCGCGCATGGGCGCAACCTTCTTTGGCGGCCTGACCTCCGCGCCCTTCTTTTTCACCCAGTCAGCAAAACTCGCGGGGTCACGGGGTCCACAATCAGGGGGCATGCGGGGAATGTCACCAAGGCTGATAGGAGGGATTGCGCGTATGCCATGTCTGCTAACAGACGGCACCGATTTTCTTCGTATGGCAAACGGTTGGCAAAACACTCTACTCGCTCTGGGCGAGGAGGCTTGGCTTTCCGCAGCGTCTCGTCTTCGATGCGGGCATGGCCTGCCCTCCGGATTTTTCTCTGGGCTGGCGTTCACCTCGATTCAGACTCTGCGGGCATTCGCTGTATACCTGGCCATCTCCCTCACATAGGGTTGGCCAGGGCCCACTGTGGAATTCCATGAGTCGCCGGCAGGGTGTTCTCCGTTTTTGCACAGCTCCGACCCTCGCCCCTATAGCGTCCTGCATGGGAGCCCTGCCTCTTCCCAGTATCTTATCCTGTTGCTGGCGACGGCAGCAACCCGGCTCGCTAGCATCTTCCAAGTAATGAAATCGCCGCTGGTGGGAAGGATCCCCCAGGACTGGGCATCGCCCAGTCCCAGGACGACCATGTAAGTATGATCTCTTTGGGCGCACCCGGCCTGCATGTCCACCAGCTGCTTCACTTGCTCCAACAGATTCGCCTCCAGATCGAAGTACTGTTGAATATCCGCTTCCGGCGCGGCGCCACGCCCAACCCGCTTTCACTCCACAGCAATACACGACAACGCGCATCAGACCTTGTCGCGAAAATATTACGACTGTCGAAGTTGACTTTTCCTCTTGGTCAAATGTTGCGATGGATGTGAGGGTGGCTCCGCCCTGACAGTATGCATAACACCCCGCAGTTTGGTTGTGTATGCACATGTGAAGGGGCTTTGTCCCCTCGGGTTGTGGTTCACCCCGCGCTTCGTGAAATATGGCGGTGGACTCGCAAAGCAGCGTGACATTAATGCCAGGGTATGACTGCTGCTTCCACATGCCCTGAGGGGCAGCGCAGTACCAATCTTTGATCGCCCCGCCCCTGTTCGCGAAGTCGAACATGTTTTGGCCCACGGACCGTGTGAAGCCCAGCCATCTGAATGAACTCGGAGCATGCCGCACATGTTTGCGCAAATTATGCGAACGGAGTTCCCCACATAAAGATATTAACGGTCTCGTGGGACCCAGGGGGTACGACAACATCAACACGAACGAAAAGCTGGAGAGGTGGGGCCTCCCTGGGGAGGTGGGAAGGGCACGAAACCATGTACATAGTATGGGTTTCCGATACCCTCCTCGCTCAGGCGGGGCCTCCCTGGAGGGGTGGGAGGGGCACGAAACCATGTAAATACTATGGTTTTCGGATACCCTCCTCGCTCAGGCTCCTCCCTGGTCAGGGGTGGGGGGGGCACGAAACATGTAAATAGTATGGTTTTCGGATACCCTCCTCGTCAGGCGGGGCCTCCCTGGAGGGTGGGAGGGGCACGAAACCATGTAAATAGTATGGTTTTCGGATACCCTCCTCGCTCAGGCGGGGCCTCCCTGGAGGGGTGGGAGGGGCACGAAACCATGTAAATAGTATGGTTTTCCGATACCCTCCTCGCTCAGGCGGGGCCTCCCTGGAGGGGTGGGAGGGGCACGAAACCATGTAAATAGTATGGTATTCCGATACCCTCCTCGCTCAGGCGGGGCCTCCCTGGAGGGGTGGGAGGGGCACGAAACCATGTAAATAGTATGGTATTCCGATACCCTCCTCGCTCAGGCGGGGCCTCCCTGCAGGGGTGGGAGGGGCACGAAACCATGTACATAGTATGGTTTTCCGATACCCTCCTCGCTCAGGCGGGACCTCCCTGGAGAGGTGGGAGGGGCACGAAACAATGTAAATAGTATGGTTTTCGGATACCCTCCTCGCTCAGGCGGGGCCTCCCTGGAGGTGTGGGAGGGGCACGAAACCATGTAAATAGTATGGTTTTGCATCCCTGGAGAGGTGGGATGGGGCACGAAACCATGTAAATAGTATGGTTTTCGGATACCCTCCTTGCTCAGGCGGGGCCTCCCTGCAGGGGTGGGAGGGGCACGAAACCATGTAAATAGTATGGTTTTCGGATATCCTCCTCGCTCAGGCGGGGCCTCCCTGGAGAGGTGGGAGGGGCACGAAACTATGTAAATAGTATGGTTTTCGGATACCCTCCTCGCTCAGGGGGGGCCTCCCTGGAGGTGTGGGAGGGGTACGAAACCATGTAAATAGTATGGTTTTCGGATACCCTCCTCGCTCAGGCGGGGCCTCCCTGGAAGGGTGGGAGGGGCACGAAACCATGTAAATAGTATGGTTATCCGATACCCTCCTCGTAGGTATGGTATGGTACGGTATGGTATGATATGGTATGGTATGGTACTGGAGGTATGGTATGGTATGGTACGGTGTGGCATTGGTGTGATATGGTATGGTATGCTATGGTACGCCATGGTATGGTATGGTACGGTATGGTACGTATGGTGGTATGGTATGGTATGGTATGGTATGGTATGTGTGGTAGGAACTATGGTATGGTATGGTGTGTGGTAGGAATAATATTGTGCTGTATGGAAGATGGAGCGGGAGGTGGGTGGGAAGGAGAGGGTGTTCTGGGAAAACAAGAACCCCATTCAGGATGTGGGGAAAAACAAATACTCGATCCGAGGTACCAAGGCGACATTCACGGGCTCCGCCACCCTGGTCGTCAGATCCCGAGCAAGCTCGACATAGTCAGCTGTCGGTAGGACGGCCCTTGTTGCCACAGATATCGTGTACTCATCCACTCCTGTAGCCTTTGCCTCCCGCATCACTCTCAGTCTCGCCGCCTCCCAAATACCGTTGACACCAGAGCTCGAGCGACATCGAGCCCTATGGTCCTCGGTACCAGGCGCAGTCGACGTCGCCGCCTTGCTGCTGGCATCGCCAGGCTTTGCTTCAGCTGAACTTTTTGGCACTGCGTCCCCCGACGACCCAGCACTCCCGGATGATCCTGTTGGTACATTCTGTGGGGGCGGGTCACTCGGCGGGGCCCGTGTTTGCAAAGCTGTGGCGTCCATAGGCGGCGGGGGAGTCGTTGCCAAAGGCGCTCCAAGAGAGCCCCAAGAGGTGCTCAGGAGACCCCAAGAGGCCCCCAGGAGGCACCCAGGATGCTCCCAAGAGGCTCCCAAGAGACCCCCAAGAGGACCCACGAGGCCCCCCAGAGGCACCCAAGACGCCACCAGAGGCCTCGGTGAGAATGCCAAAATCAATGATGCTACTCAGTTGCTGGCCACATTTTGGCCTCCGGGGACGGGGGGGCACTTATTAAGATGGCTCCAAGAGCGCCTGGGAGAGCCCGAGATGACTTCCAAGATGGCTCAAGATAGCCCAAGGTGCCTCAAGATGGCTCCCAAGATGCTCCAAGAGGCCCCAAGGCCGCTCCAAGACGGCTCCAAATGGCCAAAGAACTCCCCCAAGAGGCCCCGAAGAGGACAACATCCTTCCAAAACTTGGGCAAATCAATGTGCTTTGCTTTCTCGCCTTCTCGCGTCCGATGATGAGGATTGAAGCTCGGGGCTCGAGGCTCGGGGCTCGAGGCTCAAGGAACGAGTCTCGACGATAGAGAAAGATCGAGAAGGATCGAGGATCGAGGATCGAGAGTGGCCGCCCCGGAGCAGAGGTCGTGCAATCTGCAAACGGCGCGGACCTCCGCCCCCCGCCGCCCGACTTCGGCGGGGCGCGCGGCTTTGCACCGCGACGGTGAGCGCGACGGCGGCGGTCCCGGCGGGAAGGCGCTGGCGCCTTTGCGCTGTGCTGCCCTCAACCGCAAAGCTGTGGCGTCTGTACCAAAGCGTATGCAACTCAGGCGAGGTTGCCCTAGAAAGGTCACGAAAGAAGAATCGCATGAACCAGAGTGCAGCTGCAAGGCAAAACTAGGACAGACAGCAGTGATGTGAGAAGATTAACCCGCATTGGTACGCCTCGCCGACTCCTCCTCCTCCCCTTCCTCCTCCTCGTCCTTCGCCGGGCCAAGCATATGTTCGCTGAGAACATGTCGCATCTCTGGACGAAGCCTGGCATCTCTCACTTATTCATCGTCCTTATCTTTATCATCGTCTCCAGTGTTCGAGAAGTACCGGAAGTCTGTGAAGATGGCAAGCGCCATGATCAATGCCTTGGTTCGTGCATCCTCCACCTTCTTGAATTCGATCTTGTAATTCTCAACATCCTCGAAACACCAGCTGCAAAAGCACATCTTGAACAAGCCTTTCATCCTCTTTTGCATCATCCCCACTATATTTCCATCACCGTCTTTCAGTGGGAAGTCGACCGACTTGCACGGGCCGACTGGAAAAGGGCAGCAAAGACCCCATTGGCAAACGCCACTCTCGGCATGAAGCAGGTGATTATCTTGATGGTCACGGACATCAAATGTCATGTTCGTGGGGCAGATTGCCATCGGATCCCTGATGCTACCGATCTTATTGCCATGCTCATCGAACACCTGCACGACGGGGCGACAGAAGCAGCAGCATACGAGGCTGCAGTCTTTCTTGTAATGGAAGACTTTGCTGGTGTTGCTGATGTTCCCCATGTGGAGAAGGGCTCCTGAAGAAAACGGGCCGCCCCAGAGATTTCCCTGTTATCGGTGATTCGTCCTGAGTGGTTTCTGAACTGCCGCGTGCAGCAGAACATTATCCTGGCGAAAGGCCCAACCATATGAAGTTGTGGGTTCCGCAATTGTGAATGTCTTCTTCGGTGAAGCTCCCTATGGGGCCACGAAGCGCTGTGCTGGGCGGGGGGGGAACGCATACGGGCGGTAGCACTGGGGCCGTCGGTGAAGCTCCCTACGAGGCCACGAAGCGCTGCACGGTGTGGGTGAAAATGCAAAATTAGGCGTGTGGGACGCATGCGGGCGGTCCCATTGGCGGTTTCGGTGGAGCTCCCCATGGGGCCGCGAAGCGTTGTAAAGTGTGGGCGACAATGCCAAATTGGGTGTGGAGGACGCATGCGGGCGGCCCCGCTGGGTGCTTCGATGGGGCTCCCTATGGGGCCACGAAGCGCTGTACTGGGTCTGTGAAAAAATCAAATTCGGTGTGGGGGACGCATGAGGGCGGTCCATCTGGGGGCTTCGGTGGAGCTACCTATGGGGGCCACGAAACGCTGTACCGGGCGGGTGACAATGCCCAATCTGGTGCGGAAAACGCATGCGGACGGTCACACTGGGGGCTTCGGTGTGCTCCCTATGGGGCCACGAAACGCTGTACTGGGTGGGTGACAATGCCAAGGTGGGCGTGGGGGACGCATGCGGGCGGTCCCACTCGGGGCTTCGGTGGGGTTCCCTATTGGGCCACGAAGCGCTGTACTGGGTGAGTGGAAATGCCAAATAAGATAAACACCAAGTTGGCCGTGGTGGGCGCACGCGGGCGGTCCCACTGGGGGCTTCGGTGGAGCTCCCTATGAGGCCACGAAACGCTGTACTGGGTGGGTGAAAATGGCAAATTGGGTGTGGGGGACGCATGAGGGCGGTCCATCTGGGGGTTTCGGTGGAGCTCCCTATGGGGCCACGAAACGCTGTACTGGGTGGGTGGCAATGCCAAGTTGGGAGTGGGGGGCGCACGCGGGCGGTCCTACTAAGGGCTTTGGTGGGGCTCCCTATTGGGCCACGAAGCGCTGTATTGGGCGGGTGAAAATGTGAAATTAAATGTGGGGGGCGCATGTGGGCGGTCCGACTGGGGGTTTCGGTGGCCCATGGGGTTATGGAGCGCTGTGCTGGGTGGGCGAAATACCAAATTGGGCGTGGAGGACGCATGCGGGCGGTCTCACTGGGGGCTTCGGTAGAGCTCCCTATGGGGCCACGGAGCGCTGTACTTGGTGGGTGAAGGCGCCAGATTGGGCGGGGTGGACGCACGCGGACGGTCCCACTGGGCGCTTCGGTGGAGCTCTCCATGGGGCCACGAAGCGCTGCACTGCGTGGGTGAAAATACCAAATTCGGCGTGTGGGGGACGCATGCGGGCGGTCCCGCTGGGGGCTCCAGTGGAGCTCCCTATGGGGCCACAAAACGCTGTACTGGGAGGGTGAACGTGCCAGATTGAATGTGGGGGACGCATGCGGGCGGTCCCACTGGGGGCTTCGGTGGAGCTCCCTATGGGGTCACGAACCGCTGTGCTGGGTGGGTGAAACGCATGGAAGAGGAGGAGGGAAGGGAAGAGGGAGAGGAGGAGGAGAAGAGGAGAAGAGGACACGAACGCGGGGACTGTCTCTTCAAAACGAGGACCCAACACCACAGGATGGTTGGGAAATATTCAGCAAACAATTATCCCGGCGACGGACCCAACCATATGCAGTTGTGGGTACCGCAATTGTGCATATTTGTTCGGTGGAGCTCCCTATGGGGCCACGAAGCGCTGTGCTGGGTGGGGGGAACGCATGCGGGCGGTAGAACTGGGGCCGTCGGGCGAACTCCCTGTGGGGCCACGAAACGCCGTACTGGGTGGGGTGAACCTGCTAAATTTGGTGTGTGGGACGCATGCGGGCGGTCCCGCTGGTGGCTTCGGTGGAGCTCCCTATGGGGCCAATTATCCTGGCGATGGACCCGAGCATATGCAGTTACGATTACCGCAAAGCAGGTTGAGCGACTGCGAGGGAACTCCCTCAGGGGCCACGAAGCGTGTGAGAGGTGTGCCGAAATGGGTGCGGTGCCGCCATGCGATCGCAGCCACGGGGGCCCTCGGTGGAGCTCCCTATGGGGCCACGAAGCGTGTGAGAGGTGTGCCGACATGGGTGCGGTGCCGCTATGCGAACGCAGCCACTGGGGCCTTCGGTGGAGCTCCCTCAGGGGCCACGAAACGTGTGAGGGGTGTGCCGAAATGGGCGCGGTGCCGCCATGCGGACGCAGCCACTGGGGCCCTCGGTGGAGCTCCCTATGGGGCCACGAAACGTGTGAGGGGTGTCCCGACATGGGCGCGGTGCCGCCATGCGAACGCATCCACTGGAGCCCCCGGTGGAGCTCCCTATGGGGCCACGAAGCGCGTGAGGGTTGTGCCGAAATGAGCGCGGTGCCGCCATGCGAACGCAGCCATTGGAGCCCTCGGTGCCTCTGGGGACCTCGGTGGAGCTCCCTATGGGGCCACGAACCGGGTGAGGGGTGTGCCGAAATGAGGCGGTGCCGCCATGCGAACGCAGCCATTGGAGCCATCGGTGTAGCTCCCCATGGGGCCACGAACGTGTGAGGGGTGCGCCGAAATGGGTGTGGTGCCGCCATGCGAACGCAGCCACGGGGGCCCTCGGTGGAGCTCCCTCAGGGGACACGAAACGTGTGAGGGGTGTGCCGAAATGGGTGCGGTGCCGCCATGCGAACGCAGCCAATGGGGCGTTCGGTAGAGCTCCCCATGGGGCCACGAAGCGTGTGAGGGGTGTGCCGACATGGGTGCGGTGCCGCCATGCGAACGCAGCCACTGGGGCCCTCGGTGGAGCTCCCTATGGGGCCACGAAGCGTGTGAGGGGTGTGCCGAAATGGGTGCGGTGCCGCCATGCGAACGCAGCCACTGGGGCCCTCGATGGAGCTCCCTATGGGGCCACGAAACGTGTGAGAGGTGTGCCGCAATGGGCGCGGTGCCGCCATGCGAACGCAGCCACTGGGGCCCTCGGTGGAGCTCCCTATGGGGCCACGAAGCGTGTGAGGGGTGTGCCGAAATGAGGCGGTGCCGCCATGCGAACGCAGCCATTGGGACCCCCGGTGGAGCTCCCTATGGGGCCACGAAACGTGTGACGGGTGTGCCGACATGGGCGCGGTGCCGCCATGCGAGCGCAGCGATTGGGGCCCTCGGTGGGACTCCGTGTGGGGCCACGAAGCGTGTGAGGGGTGTGCCGACATGGGTGCGGTGCCGCCATGCGAACGCAACCATTGGGGCCTTCGGTGGAGCTCCCTATGGGGCCACGAAGCGTGTGAGGGTGTGCCGAAATGGGTGCGGTGCCGCCATGCGAACGCAGCCACTGGGGCCTTCGGTGGAGCTCCCTATGGGGCCACGAAGCATGTGAGGGGTGTGCCGAAATGGGTGCGGTGCCGCCATGCGAACGCAGCCACTGGGGCCCTCGGTGGAGCTCCCTTATTGGGCCACGAAGCGTGTGAGGGGTGTGCCGAAATGGGCGCGGTGCCGCCATGCGAACGCAGCCACTGGAGCCCTCGGTGGAGCTCCCTATGGGGCCACGAAGCGTGTGAGGGGTGTGCCGAAATGGGTGCGGTGCCGCCATGCGAACGCAGCCACTGGGGCCTTCGGTGGAGCTCCCTATGGGGCCACGCAACGTGTGAGGGATGTGCCGAAATGGGTGCGGTGCCGCCATGCGAACGCAGCCACTGGGGCCCTCGGTGTAGCTCCCCATGGGGCCACGAAGCGTGTGAGGGGTGTGCCGAAATGGGTGCGGTGCCGCCATGCGAACGCAGCCACTGGGGCCCTCGGTGGAGCTCCCTATGGGGCCACGAAGCGTGTGAGGGCTGTGCCGACATGGGCGCGGTGCCGCCATGCGAACGCAGCCACTGGAGCCTTCGGTGGAGCTCCCTATGGGGCCATGAAGCGTGTGAGGGGTGCCGAAATGACTGCGGTGCCGCCATGCGAACGCAGCCATTGGGGCCTTCGGTTGAGCTCCCTATAGGGCCACGGAACTGGTTAGGCGTGTACCGACATGGGTGCGGCGCCGCCATGCGAACGCAGCCACTGGGGCCTTCGGTGGAGTTCCCTATGGGGCCACGAAACGTGTAAGGGGTGTGCCGCAATGGGCGCGGTGCCGCCATGCGAACGCAGCCGGGGCCCTCGGTGGAGTTCCTCGTGGGGCCACGAAACGTGTGAGGGGTGTGCCGAAATGGGCGTGGTGCCGCCATGCGAACGCAGCCACTGGAGCCCTCGGTGGAACTCCTTATAGGGCCACGAAGCGTGTGAGGGGTGTGCCGAAGTGGGTGTGGCTGACGCGGAGGGGGAGGAGGGAGAGAGAGGAGAGGAGAGGAGAGGAGAGGAGAACGCGGGAACCGTTTCTTCAAAACGAGGACCCAACACCACAGGATGGTTGGGAAAACACGTATGAGGGGTGTGCCACATTTGGTTTCCAGGACGCATGCGGATGGTCCCACTGGGGGCTTCGGTGGAGCTCCCTATGGGGCCACGAAGCGCTGCACTGGGTGGGGGGGAACGCATGCGGGCGGTAGAACTGGGGCTGTCGGGCGAACTCCCTATGGGGCCACGAAGCGCCGTACTGGGTGGGGAAAACATGCTAAACCCGGTGTGCGGGACGCATGCGGGCGGTCCCAGTGGTGGCGTCGGTGGAGCTCCCCATGGGGCCACGAAACGTATGAGGGGTATCCAAATGTGGTTTCCGGGACGCATGCGGACGGTCCCACTGCGGCCCTCGGCGGAGCTCCCTATGGGGCCACGAAGCGTTGTACTGGGTGGGCGAAAATGCCAAATTGGGCTTCCGAGGCGCATGCGGACGGTCCCACTGGGGGCTTGTAGTGGGTGGTGTGAAAATGCAGAAATTGTGCTTCAGGGACGCATGCGGGCGGTCCCACTCGGGGTTTCGGTGGGGCTCTCATGGGGCCACGAAGCGCCGTATTGGGTGGGGTGAAAAATGCCAAATTCGATTTCCGGGACGCATGCGGACAATCCCACGAGCTTCGGTGGGGCTCTCTATGGGGCCACGAAGCGCTGTACAAAGGGGGGACGCATGCAGACGGTAGCACTGGGACCTTCGGTGGGGCTCCCTATGGGGCCACGAAACGCTGTACTGGGTGGGGGGAACGCATGCGGACGGTAGCACTAGGACCTTCGGCGGGGCTCCTTGCGGGGCCACGGAACGCTGCACTGGCCGTGGGGGGGGGCGCATGCGGACGGTAGCACTGGGACCTTCGGTGGGGCTCCCTATGGGGCCACGGAGCGCTGTACTGGGTGGGGGGGACGCATGCGGACGGTACCACTGGGACCTTCGGTGGGGCTTCCTATGGGGCCACGAAGCGATGTACTGGGTGGTGGGGGGCGCATGCGGACGGTAGCACTGGGACCTACGGTGGGGCTCCCTATGAACCATGAAGCGCTGTATTGGGTGGGGGAGACGCATGCGGACGGTACCACTGGGACCTTCGGTGGGGCTCCCTATGGGGCCACGAAACGATGTACTGGGTGTGGGGGACGCATGCGGACGGTAGCACTGGGACTTTCGGTGGGGCTCCCTATGGGGCCGCGAAACACTGTACTGGGTGAGGGGGACGCATGCGGACGGTAGCACTGGGACCTTCGGTGGGGCCCCCTATGGGGCCACGGAACGCTGTACTGGGTGGGGGGGACGCATGCGGACGGTAACACTGGGACCTTCGGTGGGGCTCCCTATTGGGTGGGGGGGACGCATGCGGACGGTAGCACTGGGACCTTCGGTGGGGCTCCCTATGGGCCACGAAGCGCTGTACTGGGTGGGGTGGACGCATGCGGACGGTAGCACTGGTACCTTCGGTGGGGCTCCCTATGGGGCCACGAAGCGCTGTACTGGGTGGGGGGGGCGCATGCAGACGGTAGCACTGGGACCTTCGGTGGGGCTCCCTATGGGGCCACGAAACGTGTGAGGGGTATGCTGAAACGGGTGATGGTGATGATGATGATGATGGTGATGGAGGAGGGGGAAGGGGGAGGAGGAGAGGAGATGAGGAGAACGCGGGGCGACGTCTCTTCAAAACGAGGACCCAACACCACAGGATGGTTGGGAACAATCCCACCCCTTTCCCTCAGGACGCCTCTTCCTCATGGCGAGATGTAGCCGACCATGTCCACATCAACCTCGAAGGGAGCACAATCTGGACACGTATTTTGGAACTGCCGCATGCAACAACCAGTCTTCTCCTCCGCATAGAAAATCCTGCTCCTGCCGGAGTAGATATCGTACTTGTTCTTGGCCTCCCAGAAGCTGAAGAGCGTCTCCGGGGAGGCGGGGGGCGACAGCGGGCGTTTCTCCTCTTCCTTTCCGAACGCCACGGTTCTGTAGTTCTGGTATTTTTTCTGGGCCGCTGGAAACCTCAGGCGGGCGGTAAGGGGCTGGGGTCTGGAGAACTTTTCTTTCCCAGCGCTACTTTGGGAGGGTGCAAGTCTTGCACGCAATAATCGCATGCGAAACGAACTCTTGAGTCAAATTCTTCGTCGCTCTTTGAGGCTCCTACTGTGCCCCCGAGCTTCTGAAGGTCCCTGGCGCCATCGTTTCATATGGGATTTCCGTGGCACACCTGCTCTCTGGCCGACTTCTTGTTCCATGAGCCTAATGCAAAGCACTATCGCGCCTTATCCGTTATCCTCTTTCCAAGCCCATTCCTGATGTCTCCTCTCTTCTTTGCTAACTTCTACACGCGGATACAGGCGTGGCAACGAGGAGGCCTTCTGGAGGCCCACAGGGGCACGCAAATAGAAAAATCAAACTACTCGAATCGGACACCGATCGTTGGTGGAGGGAGGTGGGATGAGGAGGAGGTGAAGGAAGAGAAGGGGGAATGAGGCGGGGGATGAGAGGCAGAGGAGGTAGAAGAACATGGGGTGCGGAGGAGGAGGAGGATGTCCTTCTCTTCTGCTTCTCGTCCGCAAAGATCGGACCTCCATCCTCGATCGAAGGAGGGTGTCGATGCTTCCCCCGTGCGCCGTGCGCCTCGAGTTTACTCATGCGCTGCTTCACGAGTATCTCGTCCTTGCCGGACAGCGTTGTCATCGCGCTCGGCATGTCCAGCTCCACTGGTTGACCTTGAAACGGCGTGTCGTCGTTGATTCTCGGCCATCGTCGTCGCGCCGACGGCGACGACGCCGAGGATCGAGGTTGAGGGATCGAGGGCCCTGGTGACCCTCGGGGGCTCCGATCGATGATCGAGGTCAGAGGCTGCAGGATCAATGTTCGAGGATCGAGGCTCGCTTTGGGGTCCTTTCTGGCCCATCAGGGGCCTCTTGAGGTCCCGATCGTCGTCCTCGTCGCCGTAGTCGTCGTCGGCGTCGCAGTCGTCTTCCCTGCCGTCGTCTTCCTCGCCGTCGTCGTCGTCTTCCTCGGCCTCCTCCTGAAGCGCTGAAGCACTGGAAGCACGAACGTTCGTCGAACGTTGCCCTCCCCCCCAGGGCCAGCTGGCGATGGGAGGCTGAAGAGCCTGGCGACTGTGGAGCGTTCGCTCCAGTCGCCTCCTCCTCCTCCTCCTCCTCCTCCTCCTCCTCCTCCTCCTCCTCCCTCCTCCTCCTTCGTCCTCGCCTGAGGAGGGCGGGAGCGCACAGACAAATAATAAGTTTGCGGACGGCCATGGGCGGTTTCTCAACTGGCGCCAGACGCCCCCCCATCAAGGAGGATCCATGCTGGTGGATGTTTCTTCAGCCACTGGGGATCAACAGGGGTCTGGGCCTCAGACCTGTGGGGATCCCCCTTCCAAGGCGCGCCAAATACGATGGAAACGGCGCCGAAGGCGTCGCCCATGTAAAAGGGCGGCCGGCGTCAGCGGAAGCCGTCCACAAATGTCCGACAGCTAACCTCAGGAAGCCATTAAGGACCCCCCCCCCGCCCGCCCTCTCTGGCGAAAGTATAACGCACCCGGCACGCATCCCAGAAGCGTTACCCTGGCACCTCGCACCTTTATGTGAAAGCAGACGAGTCTGCTCACCGAACCAAGCAAACCGCCTGAGACATTCTCGCAATATGGTCTCCTTGTGGTTCTGAAACAAGCGCCTCGCCTGAGACATCCTCAGAATTGCTCTGGACGCAGACGAGTCTGCGTCAGGTGGTCGGTCTGGGCGAGAACTGGAGTGGCCGCGCGTCTTCCCAGCGCTCGGCCTTCCGAGCAGGCAGCAAGGGAGAGCCCAGCTTTGAAAAGGAACCGTCGGTGCCTGCGATGGGGGGCGAATAATTTTGGCGGTGCGGGTGCTAAGAGAACGCGCCGTGCGTGGCGGGGGCGATATCCTCGGATGCGCTACCCCACACGACGGCCGGGAAAACACAATGTTTCGATAGGGGTGGTAATAAGAATCGTATAGGACAAGGATGATGAAAAATGACAAACAAGAGGGAGGAAAGAAGCAGGGGAACCCGTGTGTTTCCGGATGTTTAATAATCGTAGTAGTATCATTACTCTGTTTCACCTTGTTACTAGAATTAATAGTATTGTCATGTTTAGTCTTATATGATGTGTTTGATTATTCTTAGTTCTGGTCGTATTATACTTCTTTTCTTTTTTGACAAGCTGTCGTAATTACTTTGTGCAGGTGCGGTGGTAAGATAACGCGCCGTGCGTGGCGGGGGCGATATCCTCGGATGCACTACCCCACACGACGGCCGGGAAAAACCAATGTTTCAATAGGGGTGGCAATACACATCGTATAGGACAAAGATGATGAAGATAATGCGAATAAGGGATGATGATTATTATTATTATGATTCTTCGTAGTGCTTGTACAATTATAGGATTGTCATGATTATCAGTCTTGTTATTATGTTTGAAAATTATTGTTCGGATTATGTTTCTGATCCTTGTGTTTAGTATGTCCTTACTTTGGTAATTACTATTATTATCATTATTGTTATTCCGACTCTTACTCATATTATCATTACTCATATTTCACTCTTACTCGTATTCTTATTCCAATTCCAATTGGGATACCGCCCCAGCCTGGGCGCGGGAATTATGTGTTTGGTTCAATTTGCGCGGTGCTAATCATATCGTTCGGGGAGAACCGCCCCCAGAATTATCTCATTACGGTGCGGTGCTAATGATAACCCTGGGGGGTTCCTTAATGGCTTCCTGAGGTTAGTGCTCGTAGATCACGCTGCTTAACTCAAGGAAAACTTTCGAGCCCTTCCACGGGGGGCAGCTTCTCATCCCTTATTGGTTTTTGATTGTCCTGGGGCCTGGAGACGTCCTCCGGACGCCGAAAACAGCGAACAACCTCCATCTTGTTTTTTCAAGACGCTGGAGGTCTGGGCTCGTGGATCAGAACTACCGCCCCATACCTGGCCTGGGGCGCGCTCTGGCGAGAATTTCGCAATGAATCCAGCGGTGGCGACGAAAAGCCTCCTGGAGGTCCGGCGAGGTATGGCAACGGCTCCTTGAGGCCAACCGAAGCGAGGGGAAACGTCCGCGGACATCCGAGTGCTTCTTCGTGTCGACGCCTTCGGATGTCCCCACATCTGCAGAAGTCTCAGCCGTGCGACGTCTCGGGAGGTCATTAGACGCCTCCGAAGGCCTCTGAACGCAAACGTAGGAACAAGAACGTTCAAACACCGCGAAACATCTCCTCCTCCTCCTCCTCCTCCTTCTCCTTTGCGTCCTCCTCCTGCTCCTCCCTCATCCGCCTCGTCCGCCTCATTCTCCTCCGTTTTCCTCTCCCTCCTCCTCCTCCTCCTCCTCCTCATCTTTTCTCCTCCTCCTCCGCCTCTCTCCTCCATCCGTTCGCCTCGGGAAGAGGCAGAGGATGTCTGCGTGATTTTGGCTGGCTCTCCACGGCCTGACGGGTTGAGCGCCTCGTACTTGCTGTGGTTGCCGCCGATACCAAAAACCATCTCTCCACGATCTGGGGCCCAAGCCCCCGACGACTCGACTCTTTCGCTTCGCTGGCCTGCCAACGTGGCCGAAAATCTGCCGCAAAATCCCCAGGGCGTCGCACGCTGATGCCCATGAGGGGGGGGGAGGAGGAGGAGGAGGAGGAGGAGGAGGAGGAGGAGGAGGAGGAGGAGGAGGAGGAGGAGGGGGAGGAGGAGGAGGAGGAGGAGGAGGATGGTTGACGGAGTTCCGGTGTGCCCGCGAGCGTGCTGCACAGCCATGCGCGTTGGCGAATGACTGGCCTCAATTCCGCACATCCTCTCCCCTCCACCTCTTATTGTCGCCGGTGATTAAGTGCCCGCATGTCCGCCCCTCGTTTTCCCTTTGACCCCTGCTGTCGCCAGAGCCTCTTTGCGGCGCGCCCAGAACTATTAAGAAGAACGGCCACTACATCTACCTCTCCGACCCTTCCCAGGGGAGGCAGCACGCAAAGCGTGAACGATTGAACAAAGAAGCTCATTTTTTAGGAAGACCTGAATTACCAAGGCAGTTCACAACTTTGCATGCGCAGGCCGATGCCTCGCCACAGGAACATGCAAGGCCCTGCGCACTCTTCTCTCGAGCTTGGGACCACCTCGGGTGGGTGGGAGTTGCCCCCCGAGCTAGAGCATTGCAACATATCAACCTGTCGCCCCAAGAAAACCGAGTCGAAGCTCGATGGACGCATGGGCCTTTCTAAAAACCATCTAGCAAGCTCTGCCTGTTTAAGAAAGGCCACTACATCTAGCCCTCCGACCCTTCCCAGGGGAGGCAGCACGCGAAGCGTGAACGATTAAAAGAGAGACACTCCTTTCTTTGTCAGGAACGGGATTGCCAAGGCAATTCAAAACTCTGCCTGCGCACGCCAATGCATCGCCGCACTCCCCTTGCCAACGACAACATTTCACAATATACTGAGGAGAAAAACCGGAAGGACTTACTCACGAGGAACAACGGCTTGACACGGGATCCGACGCTGCAATTCTTCCGAGAAGCGAAACACACATCAACAAGGATGTCCACACGCGGCGATGTCAAACGCACCTCACCTGGCCGCGATAGTTCACGAGCAGAACTTTGACAACCACCTTCCAGTCACACGATGTCAGCGAGAGGCACACGGGGACGGATACGAAACAGGGCAAACCTCTGATCAGGCGTCCGCACCAGCGACTGAATAGTGATCAAACACAGGCCACGGCAGGGGGGCTCCTCGGCTACAGCTGCACTCGCCGAAAGGCCGTCTCCTGGCGTCGCGGCGATCTTCGGCCTCTTCATCACAAAGATAATGTTGCGCCCAGGGTGGCTGCCAAGCGCGGTGGCCACTTCGAGTCTGCCCCCGCGACTCCGAGAGCGCCCTCGCCGCCGAGCGAGCCAGGACCTCGCGCGCCCCGCGCAGGATAGCGAGCCAGCTGCGCTGCGACGAAGCCCCAGTCGGGGGCGAGACCATGCAGCACCCCATGGCGACGACGGTGATTGCAACGGAGTCCCACGGCTTCCCTGAGGGCGGCGTCGTTGGCGAGAATGGAGATGAGTTTCTGAGATGCTGCTCCGCGGCGGCACTGATCGAGTGAAACGACGCGCAGTCCGGGCCCTGCCGTCTAACCCACCATCTCACGAGCGCACCAGAAAGAAAGGAACGGCGACTTACCTGGGCCCCGATGGCGCCCCAGCCTTGCCCAACCGCCGCGCAGGTTGACTCGCGTCAACGGCTCGAGGCAGAAGCGGAAGAGATGCGTGGTCGCTGCGCAGGAGCGTCGCTCTGCGGCCGTCAGTCCAAGCAGAGGCAGGACTGGCTTCTCTCTGGGGAGCAGCGGCCTCGGCCCGCGGCGACCCGCCAGGGGGCGGTAAGTTACCGGGCGCGGCTCGCCGTCGAGCAGGGCGGCCCCGCGAAGAAGCCCATGGCGTCGCCGCTGCCGCGCAGCCCGCGCAGCTCTGTCGCCGCGCCGACCGCGCTGAGGTCGTGGCTCTCGTCGACTGCCAGGTCGCAGGCCAGCGCCTCTACCGGCAGGCCTGCCTCGCGCGCCCCCTGATCGGGCACGTCGCGCATGTCTCCTGCCGCCTGGGGCCCAAGCAGCTGCAGAGGAAAAATGCCCCGCGGCCGCCCCAGCTCTCCGGTGTCGAGGGAACGACCTCCAGGCGCGGCAACAACTACAGCGGCTGCTTATTAAGCTCCTGAACGGCCCGCGCCCCATGCCAGCTGCTCGGCTCGTCAGCAGAATTCATCCGCGTCGATATCGAGAAATGGATGTGCGAGAACCCCCCCCTGCCAGCTCGATAGCCGCTCCGCGGCGGCATCGACGATTGAGCTTTCGGCTGGCGCTGCGCCCCTTGACGAAAGCGCCCTCGCACGGCGCGTTGCCCCCAGCGCGCGGCGCCCGGCAGCCGAGCTCGGAGGGGCGGTGCAGGCGGGCATCCACGCCCCGCAGTTCCGCGCGGGCCTCCTCCAGAATGACGCGCCTCATGCCGCCAGGGCGCCCCGCCTTGAACCAGCGCGGCACAGGCGACAAGGTCACCATGGCTGGGCCGCCCTCGAGGTCCACGTCGATCCCGTAGCCGTCGCCCAGGGTGGTGTAGGGCGCCCTGCGGGCCGCCCGCTGCGCGACGTGGCGAACCGCCTCCTCGGGCAGTGTCGCCCAGGCCCTGCCGTGGCCTCCAGGCGCGGCGTCAATGCACTCCGCGCGGGTGCACCACTTGGCGCCCAAGACCTGCTCGGCGCACGGCAGCAGGATGGCGGGCAACGGCAGCTCGCGCCGCGCCGAAGCGCGCCGGGCCACGCGGCGGCGCTAGCGCAGCGAGAGCGCTGACCGCAGGCAAGGGCGGCAGCACTGGCAGTACCAGGCGCCCCACGTCCTTGCGGCGCACCTCTAGCTGGCCGAGGAACGTCAGGGTGGCTGCGAACTGGTCGAGGAGCCGTCGGTGGGTCGTGCCGACCCAATGCAGCGCGGGGTGGACCTCCGTGCCCTGTTGTCGTGGAACTCCCCCTGACCTCCGTCGGCGGACTTACCGCGATGGACTGGAATGCCCGTGCGGTCCCAGTCGCGCTCCGCCCTGGTCATCCAGATAGCCGCCGAGTTGCGCGCGCGGCCCCCTGCCGGACGCTCGCCCAGCGCCCGGAGGTCATCCGCGATGGGCCCCCAGAGAGGCAGCTCGGCGGGGTAGGGCCCATCATCGAAAGCGACTTTGCGCCCCTGGGGCAAGCCAGCTTGCAGGAAGGCAGTTCCCGACGCCGCCTGAGCCCAGCCCGCCGACGGCGCGATGCGCATCGGGGTGGCCCAATGGAAGGGGCAGACCGTCAGGGCGGCGCCTCGCGGGTCGGGCACGGGAGGGCGCGCCGCGCACTCGCGCCAATGCTTCCCGATGGCGAGCTGGTGGAAGTAGCGCCGGAGGTCGCGCTTCCAGAGCTTCACCTTTGTCTCCGGCCGCGCCTGGGCCGCGCGCAGCCTGGGCGGGCGGGCGAAGGCGGGCCGCGGCGGCGCGGCGGGATTGAGGAGCTGGTTCGCGGGCAAGTCCGAGATCGCCCGCTGCTCCGTGTCCGACTGCCGCTCCCCGAAGGCCCCTGCCGCGAGCAACGCTCCTCGATGCACGCGCGCACTCTTCTCCAAGCCTTGGCCCTGGAGACCAGCAGCTGCGCTGCGCGCGACCAGGGGAGGGTTGACCCCGCCAGCGCGCGCGGTCTCTTGATCTTGGCAAGCCGCTGGACAGCGCGGAGGAGCAGCGCGCCAGGGCGACGAACCTGGTTTGCGAGCCGCGTCGAGCAGTCCAGCATGATCAACGGCGGCAGCGCGGCTAGGGACCCCGTCGCGCTCGCTGAAAGGCTCCGCGACGCACTTCACGGGCTCATCCCTCGGTGTGGCGCAAGAGCTTTTGCATTGCCATGGCCCCAGGTCAGTCAAGGTCAGCCTCGAGGAGATGGAATGCGCCCAGCAGCAAGCGGCTTTGCACGCGCTTCTGGGCTTGCGTCGGAACCGCGTGGTCGTCGGCAACCGCGCCGTACAGGTCATTCACAGTCGCGATGCGCTGGTTCGTCCAAACGAAAATTGCGCCCATGAGCTTTCGCCGGGACTTTGCGAGCTCAACGTCGCCACGCCACAGCACAGGGACTGAAAAGATCACTGGCGACGACTGCCCGAAGTCCTTGACACGAGGGCGGCCAAGGTGTCCTCGGCGGAGGGGCGCGCCGAGGGGGCCGCCTGCGAAGCTCAGCTGGTCACCGAGCCCGACCACGACTGACGCGAGGGTGAACTCCTGGCCCCCACGGCGCAGCCATCTCCGTCTAGCGCGCCTCCACCGCGTCGCGCGGTGAGCCTCGGGAGCCTGCCTGGCAGAGGAGTCGCCCGCCAACAGCTCCGCGGCCTCGCTCTTCCCTCTGCGACCCCCCAGGTCAATCGCCCTCGGCCCCGCGACGAAGCGCTGCGCCAGCACGCCCATCGCCGAGGTCCAGCCCATGGGGCGGATCAACTCCATGACCGGCGACAACGTCTGCACCTTCCTCGGACCTCGCAGCGCGCTGAACCCCGAGTGCGCCTGCGCCCGCGCGTCGACCGACGCCTGGCATCTCAGGCTCGCGTCGTCGAGAGGCAGTGGTTTAGCCATCGGTGCACCATCGCCAGGGAGTGCCCCGACAGCGTCCCGAAATGTCACGCTGCGATGACCTCCAGGTCGCCCCTCTCCTTGAACTTCTCGGTCTCCAACCGCGGTGCCAAGGCGCCCAGGGCGGCGCCCAGGGCGGCGCCCCAGGCGGCGCCCAGGGCGGCGCCCAGGGCGGCGCCCAGGTTCAGCGCCGCCGCCGCGCGGGAGCGCCCGGGCAGCAGCAACGCCATCATCCGCACGAAGCTCTCCGCGTCGTCGTCCGTGCTCAGGCCGAGGCTGCAGTTCTTCCCGAACGGCTGGCCGAAGATCCGCACCTCGTCCCTCACGTCGCCCCGCGACGCCCGCAGCCAACCCGCCGCATGGGCGCGCACGGTAGCACCTGCCGCCAACGCCAACCGCGACACAGGCGTACTCCTGAGCAGTTGAAGCAGCTGCGAGCTCGCGATGGAGGGCGCGCTCGGCACGCCGAGCCCTCCAGCACCGTCGCAAGCGCCAAGCGAGACCCAGGCGGCGGCAGCAGGCCCCCCCAGCCGCCTCGCGGGCCGCCCACCAGCAGGCGCCAGCCCCCTGTGCCGTCCAGCGGGGGCCGCTCCCAGGCGAGAGCCGCCAGGGAAGCGCCAGGAGGGCCGCAATTCGCGGAGCCCGCCAACCCCGGCCACAGG